GAGTGGAAGAAAGGCAGATTTCAACTTAAGAATGTAAAACATCTTTCTAATGATGAGGCACTTGCTCCCAAAAGATTTGCCTTGTGTAAGAGTCACTTTCTCATCTCACAGCAGGTTTAAATCGGCCTCCGTGATCATGCATCTCAAGGTGGTAGTTAAATTGACCACACCAGCGCATCTCAACAGCCTTGATAAATTCCAAGTTTATGAAATTTTGTTGAACATTGAAAAGAGATATAAACATTTTTAATACCGTAGTTTATTTTTTATTTTTATTTTTTTGACAGGCAGAGTGGACAGTGAGAGAGAGAGAGACAGAGAGAAAGGTCTTCCTTTTGCCTTTGGTTCACCCTCCAATGGCCGCCGCAGCCAGCGTGCTGCGGCCAGCGCACCGCACTAATCCGAAGGCAGGAGCCAGGTTCTTCTCCTGGTCTCCCATGGGGTGCAGGGCCCAAGGACTTGGGCCATCCTCCACTGCACTCCCTGGCCACAGCAGAGAGCTGGCCTGGAAGAGGGGCAACCGGGACAGAAGCCGGTGCCCCAACCAGGACTAGAACCCGGTATGCCAGCGCTGCAAGGTGGAGGATTAGCCTATTGAGCCGCAGCGCCGGCCCAATACTGTAGTTTAAAGTCATTGACATTCTGGATGAAATCATTGTGTTTCTCATAAACAGTGAATTATATTTTAAGTTTTACCCCTGAGTCTTCTTTAACATAGTATTTTTGTTCATATTATGGTAAACAGCATGTTTTTAAAAAATGAAATTGTCCCAATAAGGAGTGGTTAATTCAATCTTCCATCAGTGTTTTCTTTTAAAAAATATTTATTTGTTTGAAAGTCAGAGTTACAGAGGAGGAGAGGCAGAGGCAGAGAGAGAGAAAGAGTGAGCGAGCGAGCTTCCATCTAGTGGTTCACTCCCCAAATGGCTGCAATGGTCAGGGCTGGGCAGGCCAAAGCCAGGAGATAGGAGCTTCTTCCAGGTCTCCCACAGGGGTGCAGGGGCCAAAGCACTTGGGCCATCTTCTGCTGGTTTCCCAGGTGTAAGAGTAGGGAGCTGGATCAGACTTGGCGCCCATATGGGATGCTGGTGCTGCAGGTGACAACTTTACTCACCACCACAGTGCATGCCACATTATTATTTTCTGAGTGCACAGTATACTTTATATGGTATGTACTGCATTCATTTTCGATGTCTTGATAAATTGTAGGAATTCAATGAAGTAAACAAATAAAAACCTACCTTCTTTTAAATGGTAAATACCAAAGGATTTAATCTATAATCTTTAATCTTTGAACAAGATTTAAGATTTTCTGGGGCTGGGCAGGGGCAAAGCTGGAGCCAGAAACTCAATCCAGGTCTCTCACTTGGGTGGCAGGGACCCAACTACTTGAGCCATCATGGCTACCTCCCGGGGTCTGCATTAGTAGGAAGCTGGAATCAGAAGCATAGCCAGAAGCAAACCCAAACATCCTGAGCTGAGACACTGCCATCTTAGCTACAGGTTAAAGCCTTGCCTCTGTTGCTTCTTTTTCATATGCTCTTTCAGGTTGAACATGATTACATTCTCTTCTAGTTTACAAATAACTTGAGGCTGAAACAGCAAGGCTTCTTAACACCAGGACTACCCACGGATTCTCTTTTCATTCCACTCCTTTCCTGCCTCCTTAACTCTTTAATTCCAGGCTTTTTTTTTTTTTTGCCAGAGGGTCTTCCCCTCTACCCCCACCCCCGTGGGTTTCTGTCTTCTCAGAGTCGGGAAGAAGTCATGGCAGAGGTATAGGGTGCGAACAAATGCCTTCTGCGGAAATCTAGTCACTGAACGGTCTTCGACAACTTCCAGGAGGGAACCTCAGGTGCTGCTGTAAACTGTCCTCTTTGTCGTGTCTATTTTTTTATGACTGTACATATTTACATACAGACACATATGGCAAGGGAGAGAGAAAGCGGTGACGTGAGGATCTTCTTGGAGAACAGAAGGTAACAAGGAAATGAGAAGGGGTTCTGCTAGAGGAGGGAGAACAGGAAGGGTCGCTCTCCCGAATCGCAGGAGCTCGCTGCAGGCAGCTAGCTACATGGAAAGGGGGACTCCTGCACCCCGCGGGGCCCCGGGTCCCGTGCTTGCTATTTCTCCACCTGCAGACCGGGCTCACGTTCCTATCAAACAGACCGCATTTCCTCCTGAATGGCCGGTCGGGCCGATTCTTCTGGACTAGTAGAGATTCTCTTTTCATTTCTCCAGTGCGTTTTCTGTAGCTGCTGCTTGCTGTTCAGGGTGAGAGAGAGGAGATCGGTCGAAATTCTGGGTGGGTAAGTGGGGGATTCTTGGCGATGAGCAAGCGGGGATTTAGAAGCGGGAGCGGAAAGCAGCAGCCCCCCGCCCCCACCCTGTCGGTCCCCCTTACTCTCCACCCCTGACCTCCCGCGGAGACCCCAGGCGGCAGCATCAATATTTCATCGGCCCTTTGCCAGCGCTCTGCCAGCACTCGCCTGTGGGGCTCGCCAGGCAGCGTCCTCGCTTCGCTGAAGCCGGCGTGCAGCCCCGCACCGAGCTTTGGGAGGACCGGCTCTGCGCTCGTCCGCTGCCCGGGGTGGCTCTGCTTCGAGGCTCGGGCGCAGCGCCCACCATGCGCGGCTGCCAGTGGCTCGCGCTGCTCTGCGCTCTGCCCTGGCTCCTGCGGGCGGCCGCGAAGCCCCGCATGCCAGCCAGAGACCCTGCCAGAGGCGCGGACTTCGATCACGTCTACAGTGGGGTGGTGAGCCTCAGCACCGAGAACATCTACTCTTTCAACTACACCAGCCAGCCCGGCCAGGTAAGACGCTCGCAGCCCCCGCTGCACTTCCAGAACTTGCCAGATCTCAGAGCCCCGGGGCTGCTTTGGGCTCCCCTGGGAATGGACCTCGGGGGACCTCAGGCACCCTTGTTCTCACCCTCCTGCCAAGGCATCGCCGCGCTGCCCGAGCTGCCGCAGCCAGCCTCGGGGACAGCCCCGCTTCACCTCGCGCTCCCCCGGCCTGATCGCGGGCATTTCTGAGCTTTGCAGAGGCTCTGGTTCCCCGCACCTTCTGCGGGTCCTAGCGCCCTGCTGGGTCTTCGTCCAGGAAAGTCCGGATTTCTAGGGTTGCTGGAGGGCGGGGAAGGGCGCACCTCGGCTCATAATGCCTGCGGGGGAGGAACCTCCTCCCGCTTTAAGGATGCGGGCAGACCCTTCTTTCGTCTGGTAGCTGCTCGGAATCTAAAATGGAAATCGTGTGAGAATGGACGGAAGCTGCGGAACCTGTGTGTGTTCGAGTCACTTCCTGTGTTTCTGTGCCATTGTCACACGTAGTCCTCGTAGAAGCCAGAAGACCTGGTCAAAGACGTGGGAACTGGAGCCGTCAGCCGATCTGTCGAGGTTCTGATGCTAAATAAGGGTGGGTAAAGGTGTGAAAGTTCTACACCTGTTTCTGACGAGCCAAAGAGGAAATGTTCCAGTCACTGTGTCTGATTATATAATTTTTTTAAAAAAATGCATATAGTTTGCTGTTTCCCCCTCAATACGGCGTCCTCTGGGTCATGGAAAATAAAAAGAGAAAGCCCCCCCCCCCCCCCCCCCGTGTACCTGCCGCGGGATCTTCTCATGTTAATGTGTCCATGCATAGCTTATGGTGACTGCATCCCTCGTGCCTCTGTGAACTCCAGGCAAAATGTTGGGTACTACCCTATGCCTCCCTCTCTGATTCCCACTGAGGAGCACAACTCCAAGTCCTCATAGCTTCGGATGCTTGAAGAGGCTTGTCTGGAGCAGTGGGGACCAAAGTGCCTATCACTGTCCCCAAGATATCTTCCAGCTGGTCCGACAAAGTCCTGAGTGCCCCATCTCCAGTCTGAACCTAAATCCTAGGGCACTGTCGCCATGGCAGCATGGCCCTCACTGTCTGTCCTCCAGTAACCTGTAGGTTGTTTGTCTTGTAGTGACAAAGAAGCTGTGGGCAGTGCTGTTCCAAGGTAGACAAGTGGAAGGGGCAGTTTTGCTGAGCCCCACATAACCAACCTCTTCCTAGCCAGATACTCACGAGCTGGCTGACATATTGCACCTAAGTTGGGTGCCTCGCTCTGCCTGTGACTGGCTGGGAACAGATCATGGTCTGAAAAACTCTGGGACCTCTGGAGGGTAGTATCAGTTTGCCCCTAAATCATTGGTAAATTACCTGTGCAAAGTAACTCCTGACATCAGAGGATACTATCTCTTGCCATTCTGCTCAGAGATAAACTGGTTGCTTTTTAAAAGTGTTTTGTCTTTTCTTGGTTAGTACTGTGTGAGTTCCTTGATCACAGGTTAGGCTATTCTCAGTAGAGGTCTTTACTTTAATCAACCTTGAGGTGGGGCATAGTCGTGTGCTGTTGAATGCAGATGACATGTTATGAGATTTGTCAATGTTTTTGCCAAAATGAGCCAGAAAATGAGGAAAGGTCAAAGAATTTTTAAGATGAAGTTAAATATAATATATATATGCTGTTTTCAACTTAATAGATTGAAAAATGTAGGTTCATTTCAGATAAAAGCATAACCATTTTTTCATCAATCAAGGTTGTTTTTCAAAAACAAAAAAATTTTTTCTAGTGTGCCCTTTCTATTTTGCCTATATGTGTGTTGAATGGTCTTCGTTTTATGAGAAAATAGTGATAAATAGTTTTAAAATATATTTGCATAGCACATAAAAAATTGTTCGTTAAAATGTTGCTATCCTAAGGGTGGGTCTTTGGCCAAGAGGTTAAGATGCAGGTTAGGATGCCTGCATCCAATATCAGAGTGCCTGGGTCCGACTCCTTGCTCTGCCTCCTAATTCCAGCTTTCTGCTCATGCAGACAGTGGCAGGCAGCTGTGATCACTCAAGGAGACCTGGATTGGCAGGCAGTTGGGAAGTGACCCAACAAATGGGAGCTCTCTCTTGTGCTCTGTCTTCTCTCTCTCTCTCTCTCTCTCTCTCTGTGTGTGTGTGTGTGTGTGTGTGTGTGTGTGTGTGTCACTATGTATCTGCCTCTCAGGTAAATTTTTAAACATTTTTAAATGTCACTAGTTTGTGAAATACAAAGTTTGGAACCATGAGACCAACAAATAGCAAGTATTTTAATTCATCTAATGCCAGGATGCACACATATAAACCAGATGTCCTCAACTCTTACAGCTTTCTGGGACAGACCTTAAATATGTAAATAGTGGAACCCCAGAAAATATCTTCCTTCCTCTCCAACCAATTTTCCTGTTGATTTCTACCAAGATAGCACTTTCCTAAGCTGTCTGTCCACACCATTACTCCAGTGTCTATTGATGGCCTCCTCTCTTCCTGATCTTTTTCACTCTCTGATGGATACCACAGCCCCTCTTTTCACTGTCATGAACACAAGACTGTTGGATGTAGCAGATTTTACTGAAGCTTTGGAATAACAAAGAAATCACAGCATAGGATAAGTAATAGATTACTGTGCAACAGTATCCTAACCATGTACCAGCTACCCGTAACTGGGTGGATTTCAAAGAATTGGGACTTACCTCCATCTGCTTGGGGACTCCCTTATCCCCACCTTAAAATGCTGGCCTCTGCCCTCTACGTGTTTTTTATTCTTTCATGTTGAGAAATATTTGCCTCCATTGCCAGAACCTTCCTCAAAGAATCATGCTAAATAAAGATCTATGAGCCTAGAACTACGCTCTGCAGAGCAGAAGCTTGGATGGGATTGTTTTTCCTGCAACCTAAGTGAAGTCTTGGTCAGGCAGGGCTCCCTTCCTTGTGATGTCATTTCTCACCACCCCTCTTCAGAACAACAAAAAATTTAGGTTGGGGGGAAGGGGTGTCCAGTGTTTTGAGCTTTAATCTTTTTTCCCTTCCTCTTCATCATTTTTGTTGGCCATCATTTTTCCTTTGCTTGGAGGAGAAAGTGTATTCTCACTGAGGCTCTGGTGAAGTGTGTGCTGTTAATCTCTGCTGTTATCACTGCACTTCCCATATCCAGCACTGTCCTGGAGAACCATTTCACCAAGCTAATGTCATGCTAAGCTCTTTGGATTCAGCACCAGGAAAAGTCTCATATGCCTTCCAGGCATAGAGCAATGTAAATATGAACTTGTCATTTAAAGAAACTGCTGAAAGAATGGAGTGACTGGTTTAAAGAAGAGTAATGAAACTAATGATTGAAGGTACAGGTTAGTTGAGATCATGGTACATTTCATTTTTCCAGAAGAAAAGTGTCTGAAGAGATCCTTTAAGGAAGTTGGGATTATACTAGACAAACAGGAGTGTTCTGTAACCGCAGGGCCCAGCCAAACTGGAAGGAAATCACTTTGTAGAAAAGTCACCAAGGATATATTTGACCTGGATCAAAGGCAAAATGCAGGTTTACTGGGGAATGAAAGTGCTATTGTAGAGACAGGTGGTGGCAACGGTCAGACGTTTCTATTTGAGTTGGATGATGATAAGAGCCCCTTAAATAAAAATCTAACCACTGTGCAACAGGCTGGCTTCTCTGAGCTTTTGCATAACAGACTTCAGTGTTTGCCCAAGATTTTTGAATTTCAAGTTTCCCTGGAGGCATTTATTTTCTTGTTTATTAAATCAAGGTATTTGTCTTATAATGACATATACTTTTCCATACCCAAGGAACTTTATTAAGATCAATAAGTAGTTATATATCTAGAACTAGTTACACCAGCCTCTTGGATCCTAATTCAAGAAGCTTACCCAGTCTTCATGAGCAATGGAATATACATTTGACCTTCTAGTGGTAACTTCCAGCTGCACAGAATCAGCCCTGTGATCCGTGGGTTTTCTACCCATGGATCCAACCATCTGCAGTTTGGAAACATTTAGAAAAAAATTGTATCTGGGGTGAACATGTCTACACATTTTATCTTGTTGCTGTTACCCAAATAAGACAGTATAGCAACCATTTATATTATATTAGGTATTATATATAATTTGGAATGATCAAAAGTATATCAGAGGATGGGCAGAGGCTATATGCAAATACCATGCCATTTTATAGAAGGGAATTGAGTATCTGAAGATTTTGATACCCACAGGGGGTCCTGGACCCAAATCCCAATGGATATAATGGACGACTGAACTGTACGTTACTAGTCCTATAGAAAAATTAAGCGCTTTGATATGATAAACTCACTCTCTCCATCTCATAGAGGGAGTGCTTGCTCTTTGTGTTCTGGGCCAGGAAGCCTGCTCTGCTGTCCTCCCACATTCTTTTCCTGAACTGGAACAGAGCTTGTTGAAGGAAAGACTCATGGCTTCAATGCATTATCTGGATGATTGGTCAGTGTCTCATTCCTCTTGAGAAGCTATAACAGGATACTATTGGCAGACCGAGTGTCTGGTGAAAACCTGCTTCTCACTGGGTCCTCGCAGGGCCGAGAAAAAAGACAATCAAGATCCCTCACGAAACCTTTTGTAAGTACAATGTGTTTCTGAGCTTTCCATCACTATAATGAAATACCCGAGGCAGCTTTACCTAAGGAGAGGTTTGTTTAGCTCATAGTTTTGGAGGCTGAAAGTCTGAACAACTTAGCACAGGCTCTTGTAAGTGCCCCGTAGTAAAAGTCAGACTATCTGTGGGAGGAAAAAGAACATTCTGGGAAACAGAAGCCAGAGAGCAACTTGAGGCAAGCTCAGACTTTTATGGCAACCCTCTCAAAAGAACTAGTTAGGGTACCGTGGCAGCACCCCCAATGAACCAAGGACCTACCACAAAGCCCCTCTTCTTTAAGGTTCCACCCACCTCCCAACATGCCACACAGGAGCAAGCTCCTAATACTTGAACTTT